CGCCCAGAGCGAGGATGCGGCGGCGCTCGCGGATGCTGCTGTGCTTCGCGCTGCTCTGGGTGCTGGGCATCGCCTACTACATGTATTCGGGGGGCGGCTCCGCGCTGGCCGCGGGCGCCGGTGGCGTCGGCAGGAAGGTGAGTGCCGCGAGGCCTGCGCGCCAACCCGGGCCTGCGGGTGCTGCGCCTTGCACCGAGCGGGACCCCAATCTGGACGCGCGAGGCAAGTTTCCTCCCGGTCCTCGAGCCAGCGGTGTGAGTCCCGGCTCTGCTCGGTCTCCCGCGGGCTCCGGGTCCTACACTTTGCCTCCGGGGCGCGGGCACCCAAGCCACGTATCACCGCGGGCTGGGCAAGCGGGGCCGCCCTCCAGGATCGTGGGGACCACCGTCCGTCCCTAGCCCCTGCGCCGGGATCATGGAGACTACCGTCCCGCCGGAGCCCCTGCGCCGGGATCATGGGAACCGCGGTCCCGCTGGACACCGGGATTCCCTAGCCCTGCGTCTGAACCTTGGGGACCGCCACCCCTGCACCTCTCTCCTGTACAGGGATCACAAGGACTCCCCTCCCTCGGGAGCCCGCGCTCCCCGCGCGGCGCCATGCGTCCAGACCGGGGGTATCACCGCCCCTCCAGACCTTCTGCGCCTTTCTCCGCACTACTCCCATTTTGCCCCCCGAACCCGGTGCCTCGATCACTGCGACCGCCCTCATTCCGGAGCCCCTGCGTCCTGGTCCTCACTCCGCCCAACTCGGCCCCAGACCCCCGCGTCTTGCGCCTGGGTCTTGGGGGGCCGCAGAGCCCCGGCATCCCAGCGATCCGAGGCGCGGTCCCGCCGGATTCCCCGCACCCGGCTCCCAAGACTTTAGGAGTCCTGCCAGATCCCCTTCACCCACGCCACATACTGCCTGCTCGGCCGCACTGCCAGACGTGCCTAGTCTCTTGAACTTGCATTTCCCAGCCCCAAGCTATTTTTGGAGGTCGGCTTTTCTCCGTGGATGTTTCCGTTAGGTAGGGGACTGAGCACCCAGTGATGAGGCCGCGGGGACCTGGACGCTTTGCCTTCCTAGGTCCTAGTTCCTCTAAGCGGTTTGTCTAAGGTACAGAGGAAACCCAGTGGAGGGTGAGGTTCTAGCTAGTGCGCTGGTGCTGTTGGCCTCTGTTCTCTCCGGAGGGCTTTTTTTTTTAAAACAACAACAACAACAACAAAACTGGCTCATGATCGTTTCCCAAAGTTCTGTAACCCTTATTACAGGTTGAGTGACAACACACACCCAGGAAAGACTGAGTGAATGGAGGTAGGCTAGGGGATTGGGTGCCTGAGCCCTAAGTCAGACCCTGAACGTCAAGGGCATGTGGCTGCCTTCTCTTTCCTTCCTGGCATCTTCCAGTCATTTCCAGCTGCAGGTGCAGAGGGAGGGAGGTGGAGGTGTCTTCCTTCACTCTTGGTGTATTTCATGATTCATTTTTATTTGCAGTAGCTAAAATGGAAACGTGTTTCCCTGTTCTTGGCTTGTGTGGCACTGACACTAAATCTCAGCTCTGCTTCTGGGATGGAAGATGTGTTCCTGGCCCCTGCTTGTTTTTAAGTCTAGGACATGGAGCCAGTGACTCTGAGCAGGAGTGATTCCTGAAAACTTTACCTCCCTGGTAGACTTATTTCCCCAGCCTTGGGAATAGTCAGGCTGCTGACAACTCTTTTTCCTATTTCACACAAAGAAAAGCAAACAGAGAAGCCCTTGGATCAGCACAAATGCACGGAAAAACACCTGTGGTGTCAACTTCCCAGGGGTTGTCTCTCCACTTCTGGGGGTTTCAGCTGGTGGAGAGTTGTCTGGTCTTCCTGTTAAGTCCTCCAGACACCTCTGAGGTATATGCTTTAGTTTTGAAGAAAGCCCAAGAACCCTTTGTGGTCTGATGAAGGCCATGCAGGAGAATAAGGGAGGTGTGGAGATTAACAGCTATATGTAGATTGATGACCTGGGATTGTTCTCTGTCAGTGATCCATAAATAATGCAATCCAGTCCCTTCTGGCCCTTCCTTCATGAGGCTTAGTAGATCTACTGGTAGTGGAAGAGGTGTGTAATGTAGTTGGTTTTGGAATTACAGTAGTGCACTCATCATCCTGTTGGATATAAGCGGAGGAGGCCAGTCATTAGTTACTGGGGTGAATGCAACCCTGCTGCCTTGAATCCCTAATCTATAGGAAAACTGTTTCCTCTGAATTGTTTCTGTGGGTTTACACTCTAGAAGATGTTCCCCATTTAGTTTGCCCTTATGATAACAGAAAATGTGTGGTTTGTTTAGCTTGTAAAACATGGACAGGGAAAGAAAGAATTGGAAAAGCTGGAGGTTTTCTTTTTTTCTTTTTAGAGGAAAGTGGACTGAATTTCTTCTCATGTTTCCTATTGTTCATGGCAGGGCTCTTCCGTGTTCAGCCAGTTTCTTCATGCCTTGGTGTTTTTTTTCACAGGGCTCCAAGCTTCAGGCCTGGGCTTTGGAGATTGTCTGAGGGAGGCGCGCTAGGATTTCTGCTGCTTCAGCAGCCGAGCCAGGCTCATCACTGTGTGCCCTGCCTGCTAAACAACTCCTCTCAGAACTGCTGTTCTCCATTTAGCAAAACCCAGAAAGTCGACACACCTTGGACTGCAGATTGACTGAACAAAGTAGTTAAAAACCAACTGTCAGCATTTGCTGGAAAACCCAGCACTCGATGCTGGAGGCAGTGCTGGGCTCCATGTATTGTTAAAGCAATTTATGCATAATGTTTAAAATTGCATTTCGTTTTCATTTGTATAAGTATCTCTCTTCCCATATTTGCTGATTTGCACTTCAAGAATGCCTTTCCTTTGAGCATCTTAAATGTTTTAAAATTTTAATCATGTTAAGTCTCCCTGGGGCCCTGGCATGCTGGCTATGGATGGAACTGCAGAGGAGAGGAAGGGATTTCTGTCGAAAGAAAGCTGCTCCTGGCTGTAGTGTGGCTGTATGGGTGGACAGGAAAGGTTCCCAGTAGGAGAGCAGTGAGCTCCATTCCGTGCCCTCCCTGCATGTACTCCTTGCAGGCTTGGGATGCATCTTTTCTCCTGGGAGCTGGTATCTGTGCAGTGTCCTGGCTCTGGGCCTCCAGGTGGAGGCGTTTGACCTTCAGCTTCTTGTAGGAAACACTGGGGAGGGGCTTCTCTTGAACTAGGGAGGGACCTTTGTGGGGGGTAACACTCAGTAGGGTGTAAAAGTGGAGAATGGACTTGGGACTATGCTGTAAAGGCCTTTGGATGGCAAGCCGGCAACTGGCTCTTCATCTGGCTGCTCTGGAGGGAGCCAGTACTGTTCAGGTGGAGGGCGGTGACAATGTCCTCAGATACTGAGTGACACCTTCTTTTGCTTAGTGATTCTCGCTGCCCATCAGTTTTTTCATTATAAGGTTGGAGGATTAGCATCCTTACACCTTGGGCCTCTTTTAGGATCGTATGTTCTTTGTCAGTGCTGAATAACTGATAGAAAAAAGAAAAATGGAGTGTCTTAGTTTTGTCAAGCCCTGTGTCCTTCTTGCATACCTCTGAAGAGAGGAATCTGAAGGGTTCCTTCCAGGCTTGCATTGGAATCTTCCATGCTGTTAATGATTCTTTTATGGGAAAATCTTCAGAGCACCCATACCATCTCTCCACCCAGCTGTAGTATCATGATGGGGTTCTCACTAGCCATCTGTCAGTAAAGAAAGTGCAGCTTGCCTTGGGGATAAAGTCCATGAGGATGGGGGCTGGGGTTATACCTGAGTTTCGACAGGTTGGGCTCCTGGCCTTTCCCCCTCTCCCTGATCCCTGGTCAGGAGGCGTAGCTACAGTGTATAGGAGGCTACCATATAGTGTTACCTGTGTCAGCAGGTCACCAGTGCTACGTGTACAGTATAAGAAAGGCCATTTGCTCTGGGCATGGTGGAACAGGCCTGTTATCCCATCCCAGCACTTGGGAGCTGGAAGCAGGGGATCCTGAGTTTAAGTCATGACCTACTATAGATTATATTCAAGTCCAGGCCAGTCTGGGCCCCTGCCTCAAACAACAATGAGAGTTGTAGAGGTGGGAAGGACACCAGGGAAAGCCCAGTCTTAGCCTAATCTACACTGTAAGATAAGCCTCAGTAAGGAAAATAAAGTCCCCTGCTTGGAATTCTGTCATGGCTGCCTCTGGGTGTGCAAACACAATGGAAACAGATTGTGATGATAAACACTACAAAAATAATGAGCTCTGCCCTGGGCCCTCTAGCAAAGTGAAAACGACACTGTCCACTAGTGGCTTGGGGTGGGGTTATCAGCCTGTTCAGCTTGCTGTGTGGGCTGCTGTGGATTAGGGGTGGCAAGACCCTGGAAGCAGGGAAAGGTTTTCAGGGGCTTTGGGCCTCTGTGATCTCCTCAGCATGCTGAAGGGAGGGGAGCGATAGAGAGCTTGCTGCCCTTTGGACCTAAGGGGAGATGTATGAGGTAGTGGGTCAAATGGTTAAGCTGGGAAGACAGGCCGATGCCTGTAGCCTCTCCCTGATGCTCTAGGTTCTTGGGTCTTTGTGGACAGTGTTCCTTTGGGAGGAGCAGGGTGTGTCAGGCCGAGGCCACTGCTCTGCCCACTTTCATGTTCAGAGGTTGAAGCAGAGCCTAGGAAGGAGGCAGGGGTTTCTGGGGAGGCCTTCAACTATCTCCTCCAGGGAGAAACCAGGCCTTGGCCAGGCCCACTCCTCTGAGATCTTGCTCTTTTCTCCCTGCATAGTCTGGGAGCTCCGCTTGGGGGTGACACTGAGACTTGGCTGCTAGGCAGAGGGACACACATATGTGGCTAGGCCTATGCAGCCAGGCTGTGCAATCTGGAGATGAGGTCCTTCTGGGCAGGTTCCCTTGTCTTCAGCACCCAGATCCCCCCAGGCTCCAGATGCCATCACTCTCACTATCTCACCTCTCCCTTTTGGGAAAAAAATATTTTTGAGAGAGAGCCTCCTTTCTGGACCTTCTCTTCTTGTTCAGTAGCTGTGGGGTGAACCCAGCCACCCAGAGGGCTGCTGTCCCTGCTTCCTTGCTACAAGTCAGAACAGTTGTTTCATTTTCACTGAAGCAGTGCTGGGATCCCATCCCACCCACATGGTCTCTGCTCCTTCCT